ATTTGGGCAAATTCCTTAAGTCTGAGAGAGTATTGCTGCCTTTCAGTAACATCACTTCTAGGAATATCTCACAAGGGTACCTTTAAAGGAAAATATGAAATGCAACAATGTTCACTGTAGCATTACTTCTAACCAATTATAACAGAACATTTAGTTGGTGTAACACGGGTAGAATACTAATAGCTACAAGCAACATTATTTCAAAGGATAATTACTATGTGCCACTTAAAACATCTGATCCAGATTTCCTAAGAAAAATGTGTGCACACGTGCAGAACGATGAAAAGGAGACACAAGAAAACATTACAAATGGTTGATTTTATGTCCCTTCCTCATGCTCTTCAGTTGTTGTTGATAGTATTAGATAGCTCCCATTCCTCCCTGCAATCTACACCGCTCCTCCAACACCCACACACCCATCACAGGTCTTCACCACCCTACTGCCCATGTCCATGGGCTGTGCATGTAAGCTCTTGGGTTTATCTCTTCTCATTCCCCCAACCCCACATCAAGGCATGTCAGTCTGTTCCATGCCTCCATGCTTCGGGTCTTATTTTGTTGGTCAATTTATTCTGTTCATTAGATTCCACAAGTGGGATCATATGATACTTGTCTTTTTCAGTTTGGCTTATTTCACTCAGCATAGTATTTCCCAGGTCCATCCATGCTGTCCCAAAGGGTGAGATCCTTTTTTACAGTGTAAACTTCCCACCGCTTTTTTTTTTTTTTTTAATCCATTAATCTACAGATGGACACTTGGGCTGTTTCCAAATCTTAGCTATTTAAATAAGGCTGCTATGAACATAGAGGTGCATATATTCTTTCTATTGGCATTTTGGGTTTTTTTTAGGATACACTAGGTGTACCAGCTAATAATGCAGATTTTGTAATCAAAGAAAACACGATCATTTCAAGAGAAATATCAAAAGTGCTTTATTCAAAGTAATGTCCATCGCTAGCTACACATTTTCCCCATCTTTCAGGTAATTTGTAGATATTGTCCCAATAGAACTTTTCTTGTTTTGAGGCAAACCATTCAGAGACCCAATTTTCCACTTCTTCATGTTTTGAAGTGCTGCTCAGAAAGTGCATGTGCCATTGCTGAGAACAAGTTGTAATCTACCTGAAGAAACAAGATCTGGTGAATACAGCGAGTGGGTTGATACTTCCCAGGCAAGATCTTCTAACGTGTCTTTAACTGGTTTTGAAGTGGGTGATGGTGCATCATCACGAAGCAAAATTACTTTGCCGTGTCTTCTGGCCCATTCTGGTTGTTTTATGATCCAAGCGTGGTTCAAATTGACCTGAACGTTCTTTGTCTTTCACATAGAAATCATCACCTTTAAACTGTTTAAACCAGCGTTCACAAGTATCTTGAGATGGAGCATGTTCACCATAAGCTTCCCGAAGAATACGATAATTTTCAGCAGCATTTTTCTTCAAAGTAATGAAAACTTCACATAAATGCTTTTGGCACAAAATTCAACATTTTTTAAGTGTAAAAATATCTATGATGTTAACACCTTCAGAAAACTTGACATATGAAGTTTTGAAGCTTGTTGTCAATACAACAAAATTGCATATATTATCAACATATGTGTAACTCCAGCTATAGAAAAGTATCTGCATTATTAACTGGTACACCTAGTATTTCCCAAAGGGGGATTGCTGGGTCAAACACAAGTTCCATTTTGAATTTTGAAATGTAATGCTGCACCAATCTGCATTCCCACCAGCAACATCTTTATTGGTACTTTTAAAATGACAGATTGAAAAATACATTAAAGGGAAAAATATTTAAGTAATTTTTCATCTGTGGAAAGACTGTTTACCTCATAGGCTCCGTTTCAATTTCTTAAAAGTGCCAGAGAACATAGGGACTCTTTCCCTTAGGAACTTGGGCCCCGCCGTCCTCCCCTCCCATATTGGAAAAATGTCTAACAATTCATGGTTCTATAAAGAACCCCTTTGTCGGGTGCTGCACTTTGGGGTTCAGTGTCCCAGACATTGTCCCATTTGATTCTCCCAGCATCCTTGTGACAACAGCATTGCCATTATTCTCCCGTTACGAACCAAAGAAAAGAAGAAACCACGCAGGCTTTTCATTGCCAGGCTGCAGTACAGGCCCAGAATTGGAGCTTCTGGCCTCAAATTTGGTCTCTTTGCAACAGACTGACTACATTCATGTTCACCCTTTCACTTCCTGGACCTGATCGTATCACAAAAATCACCACTTAAGAGACTTTGCCAGTTGCACAGCCATGTAAATGTACTTAATGCCACAGAACTGTACACTTACAAAGGTTGAAAGGGAACAGTTCACAATTAAAAAAAAAAGAAGGGGCAGACTTGGCTAGGTTGAGATTAACAAGATCTAAGTTTGGCTAAAAATAGCAAGTTTGTTTCACTATAACCATATTGTGGTGGGGTGCCATGGTCAGCAGCAACCTGCTCCCTACATTAGAACATACCCTTAACCTGCCGTCTAAGTGGTGCTGCGGAGACCCAACCACAGTAACTGTCCTCTCAGAGCAATGACAACCAAATACAGTGTGTGACCCTTGCTTTGTCACAAATGGTTAATTTTTCAAAATCAAAAGTTGGAAAAAAAATCAAATCATAAAAGACGACACCACACACACAACTTTTTCGTCTAGATTAGGAGAACACAGCAAAAACTATTAGTGCCCAGGTGGTGTGACTCAGTGGTTGAGCATTTACCTATGAACCAGTTACAGTTCAATTCCCGGTCAGGGCACATGCCCAGGTTTCAGGCTAGATCCCCAGTTGAGGGTTTGTAGGAGGCAGCCGATCCGTGATTCTCTCATCATTGAAATTTCTCTCTTTCCCTCTCTCCCTCCCTTTCCGTTCCTCTCTCTGAAATCAACTTAAAAAGTAATTAGTAAGCAGTTGTTAGACACCTGTTTATAGTCAGGTGCAGGGAAATCTGACCGAGACCACAAAACGGGAACTATGAAAGCACAGGATCCAGGAAGGTCAGACAGCGCGAGCTGGGCCAGGTGACCCAGCTGAGTGGGTCTACATCAAGAAACAATCACTAGCCGAAGCCGGTTTGATTCAGTGGTCTGCGGACTGAAGGATCCCGGCCGGGTTCGATTCCAGTCAAGGGCATGTACATTGGTTGCGGGCACGTCCCCAGTGGGTGGTGTGCATGAGGCAGCTGGTCGATGTTTCTCATTCTCTATCCCTCTCCCTTCCTCTCTGTGAATTGATGAAATATATTTAAAAAAAAAAGAAAGAAAGAAGAAGGAAGGAAGGAAGGAAGGAAGGAAGGAAGGAAGGAAGGAAGGAAGGAAGGAAGGAAGGAAGGAAGGAAGGAAGGAAGGAAGGAAGGAAGGAAGGAAGGAAGGAAGGAAGGAAGGAAGGAAGGAAGGAAGGAAGGAAGGAAGGAAGGAAGGAAGGAAGGAAGGAAGGAAGGAAGGAAGGAAGAATCACTAGATTACAACAGAGTTCTTGGTTCTTTCACTTCATTACAAATGTTATCCAACAAGCACTGAAAGCATTTGCCTATTAATGCTAATGGAGTAAGACTGCTTTTTAAAAAACTTTTAGACTACAAGGCCAAACGTGTGGCCATTTCCCTACATATATCACAAGACAAGCAATGGGTAAAGATGAATATTTATTCACTTTACAAAGAGAATGGTATTAAATTCCCATAAACAGCTCCATTTATAGACAAATATAACTGTACATTATAACAGTAGCTGGCTGAACCTTACTTTCCCAAGATACTTCTCCCGCTCCAGCGTTATTGAGCATAGAAATCTGTTTCACCGTGGATGGTTAAGAAGTCCCTCAAAGATAATGGCTTTGTTTTACATATTCACAGATGGGAAAATAAACCCATCTCCCCAGCCTTCCTTAAGGCAAGCTTCCATATGAATGTTCCCTAGAGAGCACTAAACAAATACTGGCATGTTTTAAAAAAAAAAAATCACTAGTTTGGTGGCACACCAAAATACATATTTATACATACATAAAAAATCTTGGGTCAGATTTATTATTTTAAAGGTAAACAGATACCCTAACACTGCCAAGAGTGGGTAATGAAAAGGAAAACATTAAATTACTGAATTATAAAAATATTTTCTTTGGAAAAAAACTCCAACAAGGTTATCTTCAATATCTAAAACCAAAGAGAAAAAATAAACAATTCTTCTTTGATCCATTAGTAATTTAAATAAAAATGAAAACCTCTTCAAAAGCAGCTACAACTGAATTCTTTAAAAGTTGCAGGTAATGAGCACTTCTAAATCTATACACTAATGATTCTTTACAGGCAATTGTAGTCAAGAAAAAACCTTAATATGGCTAACTCTTCAGTTTTAATTATCATAATTTTTTGTTTTTAAAAAATATTTCACATGACAACTTAAAAAATAAGTGGTTTATTTATTTAGAGAAGCCCTCCAAATATCCAATCTGACTCAAATCAGATTACCACGGTTAACAGACAATCTAGGGACACTGGTGATTTCTTTTTTTAATCACATTTTTACTCATTCTGTTATCCCTTCATAGTTTATAATTGTCAAATTAAAACTTCTTTCACTGGTGCTGCTTCATGTCTGGATATGATGGAAGATACCAACCTGAGATAAGAGCTGACTCCTTCACACAAGTCCAGTTCTTGAACCCTATCTGGGAAATGTCTTTATCTTCACTGATGCCAATTCTTGGTATAACCAAGTCATACTAGGATATTATATTATAAAAATATACCATATATTCGACACTGATGTCAGTACATTGCAGAAAATGTGTCTATTTACTGTGTAAAGTTTATTAACATTTGAATGAAACACTCTTATTTACACAGTTGAGTCTTGCTCAGGACTCGGGGCCGGGAGCCACCATCAGCAGTTGGGAAATGTGCAGCGGTCCTTGGCATCCTGTCAGCCTCCGCCCCAGGGAACGCGCAGCACTGGGGAAGGTGAGCCAGAGTCTGTGCCGTTCCACTGGCTTGTTTTCTGTCTTCATTCCTCTTCACTTTCATTGTTAGAATCCAAATCAGAATCTCCATTTAATTCTTTTTCACTTGTCACATCTCTGTCCTCACCATTTTCTTCATCTTTTTCTTCCGAATCCTCATCTTCCTCCTCTTCATCAACCTCCTCATCTTTTTCACTTTCTTTCTCTTCCTCTTCTTCATCCCAATTATCCTGGCAAAAAATATTAAGCAAGGAAAGCGCTCATGAAGATCTTGTTCTTACAGGGTACAAGGTTATAAAAGCAGATTTATGTACCAAAGAACAAATTACTCACATCAGAATCTTTATCTATTTCATCATCCGATTCCTCTTCAGAAGATTCTATAAGAGGGGAAAAAATGCTGCCTTAATTTTGTGATCAAAGCAGAGGGCAGAGCCCTGAAAACCAAACATCATTAGATACCCGAGTTTACTTTCAGAAATATTATATTCAACTATGATCCATCTAAGTAGTAACATTAATATTCTCATCTGCATTAAAGCACATGGCACATTATTCCATCAAGATTTCACTGAGCAGGATGAAGTACCAAAATGCTAACAAAATACCATCTTTTTTTAATTTTTTAAAATTTTTTACAGAAAGGAAGGGAGAGAGAAACATCGACCAGCTGCCTCTTGCACATCCTACCAGGGATATGCCCGCAACCAATGTACATGCCCTTGACCAGAATCAAATCTGGGACCTTTCAGCTTTACCACTGAGCCAAACCGGTTTCGGCCAAAATACCATCTTAAAAAACAAAGCTGACGATGTGGGGGAAATGGAACCTTGACTTATATGCATGTATATAAGCATAACCAATGGACATAGAATGCAAGGGGGTGAGGGCATGTGCCGAGGGGTGGGAGCAGGTGGGGAAAGGTCCACGGGGGAAAAGAAAACATAAACAATAAAGAATTTATGTCCTAGCTGGCTTGGCTCAGTGGATGGAATGTCAGCCTGCGGACTGAAGGGTCCCAGGTTCAATTCTAGCCAAGGGCATGTGCCTGGGTTATGGGTTCGATCCCCGGAAGGGGGCATGCAGCAGGAGGCAGCCAATCAATGATTCTCTCTCATCATTGATGTTTCTCTTTCTCTCTCTCTCTCTCTCTCTCTCTCTCTCTCTCTCTCTCTCCCCCTCCCTCCCTCTCCCCCTCTCCCCCTCTCTCCCCCCCTTCTTCCTTCCTGAAATCAAATAAAGAAATATATGTATTTAAAAAATATATTTAAATTTTTAAAAAATGGAGCCTTGTATATTATGAATGGAAATGTATACTGGTGTAGCCACTAACAGTATGGAGGTTTCTCAAGAAATTAAAAATAGAACTACCATATGATTCAGCAATCCCACTTGAGTGTATGCTGAAGGAAACAAAAACAAGAGCTATCTACACCCCATATTCACTGCAGCATTATTTGTTAAGTGTCCATAATGAATAAATAAGAAAACATGGCACATATATATAATGGAATGCCCATAAAAAAAACTTTGTCAAGAAATCCTGCTATTTGTGACAACATGGATGGGCCCTGAAGGCAGTAACCTAAGTGAAATAAGTCAGAACAGAGTGTGGTTGCCAGAGGTGAGGGGTGAAAGTCAAAAGGTGAGAACTTTCGCCGGGACAGGTTTGGCTCAATGGATAGAGCGTCGGCTTGGGGACTGAAGGGTCCCGGGTTCGATTCCGGTCAAGGGCATGTACCTTGGTTGCGGGCATATCCCCAGTGTGGGGTGTGCAAGAGGCAGCTGATCGATGACTCTCTCTTATCGATGTTTCTAACACTCTCTCTCCCTCCCTCTCTGTATAAAATCAATAAAATATATTTTTTTTTTAAAAAAAGGTGCGAACTAAGTCCTGTGTATGCACAGCATATGCTCTTATGTCCTTCAATTATGTCTTATAACTTACAAAGGTTATACTTCACTTTTAGATGTACTTTTAGGTACTTCATAGTTTTTTTATTGCTATGAATGAAATCTTATTTTTCTAATACATTTTCTGACTGGGACACACATTAGTGGACACACAGTACATTACTGAGACATACTACTACCAGATTTCCTTTTTTCTGGCCTTGGTATCCAGTAAACTTGATTTACATATCTATTAGTAACAGTGTTATTACAGATCCTGCTGCATTTTCTATTGGAGAAGGATAACAACTGCAAAGCTCAACATGCTAGAATTCATTTTTTTCAATCCAGTATTAGGCAGGACATGCAACAGTAAAAGTTACATTAGTTTCTTGTTCCTGTCTTTCTAAAAATGCTTCTGAACTTTGTTTGATATAGATTAAGGAAATTCCCTTAAATTCCTAGGTTGTTCACTTTATCAAGTAATGAGACATTCAATTTAACTGAATTCATTCTATTAAAATATATAGTGTTCCCTGTTAATCTATTAATATGGTGACTACATTAACAGATTTCTAGATGCTAAATGACCTTATAATCTTTAAATAAATTCTACTCAGTAATGACTAAATGATTACTTAAGTACTTCCACAATCAATTTGCTACCTAAGATATTTGAGGATAGTCTAAAATGTTATTTTCTTCACTATCCTTGTCTGGTCTTGATTCATAAAGATGCCTAAATTTCACAGGGCAAAAACTTATTCATCTACCTGGTGGCTTATGAGGGGAAATAGTATTCTTCTATTTAAATTTAAATACCTTCCCATACCTAATGCCTTTTTTTCTTAGTTATTATATTTGTGCCTTTTCTTACTAGTCATATTTTTGCCATAGGCATGCCCACTTTCTTAGAGAAGGTGTGCTGAGCATGACCTCATTCACATTAATACTGTTACAAAATAAGATAACAGAAATGAGTCAATAACTAAATGTTCCAATTGTAGACTCTACCCCATAAGCCCCTCCCCCCAAGCTTTACCTTCTTCATACACCAATTTTGCCTTCTGTTCAGGAGAAGTCATCCCCTTTGTTTTTTCCGAAGCAGTGACCTGAAAGAGAGTAAAAGGCTGTTAATACAAGTAGAGTATAAGTTTATCTCAAGTAGCACAACAGAACCTTCTCAACAGTATAAACTCCCCCTCAACAACCATAATGGATTACCTCAATATGACATAGATCAAATACAAGAGAAAAAACAAATTCATCAAATGCAATAAGGAAAGAATTACTCTGTAAAAGTTGAAAAATCCTTTTAAAAGATTATCAGAACTTGTTCCTGTGTCAACTTCTTCTATTTAAAAACCCTGTAACTTTTTAAAATATATTTTTATTGATTTCAGAGAAGTGAGGGGAGAAATGGAAACATCAATGATGAGAATCACTTTTCAGCTGTCTCTTGCATGCCCCCTACCGGGGACTGATCCTACAACCCAGGCATGTGCCCCTGACTGGAAGTGAACATAGGACCTTTCAGTCTGCAGGGCCAATGCTCTATCCACTGAACCTCGGGCTAAATACCCTGTAAGTTTTGTTCAGAGTGCCACAATCATCTTAACTGTTCTAACAACTGAAATGAGGACCTTTCGGTGAAAGTTAAGATAGGTAATACATAACATTTTCAAGTTCAAGACTGGATCCTGATTTGCCACTTCTTACTGAGATAGGGAGTTTTCAATGTTCAGGTAAACGATCCTTATCCTCACTCCATTCCTACCACATCCAAAGTTTTAGCACAGAACACTTGAATTTACTCACTTGTGTGATAAGAAGAATAAGCTTTCCATGAAGGTGTGAAAGTTTCTGGAAAGTTTTTACTCTGCTTTCCATTAACTGGTATAGTGTACCCAGCTGGGGTACCAGGTCAGGCAACTAAAGAAAAAAAAATGGTTTTATATTATTGTGACATAATAAAGATAACAAACGTACAAGTCATGTGTAGATGTGCCTGAGTATTTAGCCGATACACCACGAGCCATCTGTTTACATTTCCAGCGGTGTGGCGGCTTACTACCTAGCCTAGCAGCAGCATCTCACACTGTGACCGATAACGTTTTTTCTGGTGCTGCTATAAGACATTATGCTCCCTCCCTTCCATGTGCACAGACAACCAAGAGCTGAGAACAGCCCCAGCAAAATGCCACGTGTTGAATGCTTAATTTAAGTCATTTTCATCACAAGCTACCTTGTGACAAGGTAGGGAAGACATGTTAGCACATATATAAAACTTCTGAAATCTGCTAAGTTTTTAAGAGCGAAGTGGAAAGACACATATGATGTAAAGATAATTTTGCTGAACAGGTTACAGATATAGGAAAACACCTGAAAGCTAACATGTCAATATATGTTAAAACATTTCTCTTAAAAGCAGTAGCTTAAGGACAATTATGTGATACCATAATCGATTAAAAAAAAAAAAAAAAAAGCAGTAGCTTATGGCTGAAGATGGAGAGAGTGGTTTTGTTAAGCCATCAGTTTATAACCCTTATCAAAGTCAAACTATTCAATTGTAGCTGAAAAGACTTACTGTGGATAGATATGATGCATGGACTGTTAACACACATTTTAGCCACTGAACCATTAAAACAGCACTGGAAAAAAGGGGGGAGAATCCAAGTAAACTAATTTGAAACTAAATACAACTGAGTAATGAAATTAGAAAAACTCAGGTGAAGTGAAGATCTACAAACTATTACCTCAGAAAATAACTATATGAATAAACTTCTGAGAATTTAACAGTCCTTACATTCTTTCATTATTTCAGATCTGTGTAATATACTAATTTCTTGGGAGTGAGGGGGAAGTAAGACGGACAGAAACACAGGACAAAATTCCCTTCCTCTAAAATATTTTAAGAATAAAACTCAAGCTTTTATTTCATAACTAACTGCTATCAGGGCACATAACCTGAGCTCAACTTTATATTTTATGTTCATAATACTTGAGCTCATCATCTACTCATCATCAGGTACAATTAGCAAAAGATTCCGACCACACCAACATTACAAACAAATACAGACCAAAAATGTGTAAGCTGGGCCTAGTGAATTAATTCTTTAGCAATAACTTAGATAAGAAAAACTGCTTATTGTAGGCAGTAATAATATAATACTATAGTAAAGCTTAGGGTCTCTAAAATATCAACTTCCTGTTTAAATCTAACTATCAAATAAATAACAAAAAGACCCACAGATTTAGTCTTTTATAACATACTAGAGACCCAGTGTATACAAATTCATGCATTTGGGAGGGGGGGGGGGCGCAGCTGGCCCTGCCCCAATCAGGGCCTGTCAGCAGGAGGAGAAGGCAAGAGGTTGGCTGGATGGCCCTGCCCCTGATCTGGGTGGAGGGGCTGATCTGGGTCGGGGCTGCAGGAGGTTGGCCTGTCAACCCTGCCCCCTACTGGGGTAGGGTGTGAAATAGGGGGCAGGGCTAGCCAGGGGGAGGAGGTGTGGGCCAATCAGGGTGGGGCAGGCCAATTGAGAGCAAGGCCAACGAGGAGGGGCCAAGGGAGGTTGGGCTGTTGACTGGCCTCAGTGGGTGTCATAGCAAAAAGTCATTCCACTAGCTGGCTCTTCATATATATATATAGTCTTATCTTAGCTGCTACCAGAGGTTAAGTTCTACAAATGGCAATTTTACACCAAATCATTAAAAAAGATTAACTCATTAAATGACCTGATAATAAAATTTAAAAATCTACACAGGCGTTTTCTGAAAGAAATAAAAAAAGCTATAAAATATTTATAAAAACAATTTAAGTTATTTAAGCATCTTACCTATTAGGATGACCTTGCAATCTCTTTGTAAGCTGAGGGGGAGAAAAACAATATAAGCAACAGTACTTCAGGGACAGTTAATCTCCACCAATTCCCAGGATACACACATCCACAAAAACAAATGAACATAATGCATGTTAGGAAATCATTATTCCTAAGTATCCTAATTCCTAAATGTCCAACCAATGTAACAGAATCTCAATATATGCTCCCACAATAAGAATGACCTGATAAAAATCTGGGCTAAGATTTATATGCATGCATATAAATCTATTTTCTATCTCTACAGGCAAATCTGTAGAGATAGAAAATAGGTTAGAGGCTGCCAGAAATAGGATATGGGAGGATGGAAGTGACCAATAGGTACAGGATTATTTACTTATTTTTTTTTTTTGGTGTAATTGTATAACCTGTGAATACAGTAAAAACACTTTTAAAGGGTAAAGTTTATGGAATATGAATTATATCAAGAAAAAAATGCAGCCAAAATCATTAGGCAAATATTGTTTGAATAGATCTATTATGTTTCACCCACTGTGATTGCGCTGCTTGTTTACATACTGCAAATCCATTTCTCTAAATACTGGATTTAGTCTTAACTCCTAGCATTAAAACCTGAAAATGAACAGAGCACTCAACATTACCTCTTGCAACAATGGAATAACAGCATGCAGGGGCATCCTTAATACAGTCCTCTTTATTAGGTTTAAATTCCTAGTTTGAAGTACTTTCTGTGACAAAAGGAAAGATATATAAGCATATTCAGAAGAACACTACAGAAAAAAAGAGTCAGTAAAATAATTTTTAAAACCAAGCAATAAACTAATAACTGAATTTTAGCAAATAAAGGTTGGAGGGCCTGAATGAGAATGTTATTATCTTATGGCAATCAGAAAAGCAGTCTTCAGTTACGAGACATTTGCGTCAATAAATGGATTTCTTCTTGCTCAGCTAGTGCAGTTCAGTGGTTGGTCTTTAAACTAATGAACCAGGAGGTCAAGGTTCGATTCCCAGTTGGGGAACATGCCCAAATTGCAGGCTCAATTCCCAGGCATGCAGGAGGCAGCCAATCAAAGATTCCCTCTCATCACTGATATTTCTATCTCTCTCCCTTCCCTTCCCATCCCTTCCGAAATCAATAAAAATGTATTTTTTAAAAATCTTCAAAAATAAGTCATCCCAAATGAAGGAAAATTATTAAATGGATACAGAAGTTAGTATTCATTTCTGCCAATAATATATTTAAAGAACAACCCTAAACAACACAGCCACAAATGGTTAAGATAATTTTGATAATTTGTTTCTTCTTTTACAATCTCACTGCAATATACCTGATGTGCACTTAAAGTGTACTATTTGATATATACGTTTACATATGAAACAAACTCTAAGGTAAAATTCTATTACCCTCAAGTCTCCTTAGGCCCCTTTATGTCCTATCCCTCCCCTTGCACCTGCACCCCTATATATTGATAGGTACTTTCTAGAATTACTATATAAACTAAATCATATAATATATACCTTTATTTTTTGTTCTGGGTTCTTTCTTACAGTCTAAATTTGAGATTCACCCATGTTGATATATCAATAACTTATTTGTTTATCCATTCATATGTTGAGGGACATTGGGGTTCTTTCCAGTTTTTGACTATTACAAATAAAGTTGCTATGACAGTTCACATACAAGTCTTTGTATGAACCTAGTTTTTTTTATTCTCTTGGCAAATACCTAGACTGGCTGGGTCATATGACAGATGTATCCTTAACTTTCAAGAAACTGACAAACTGTTTTCCAAATTATTTGTACCCATATTACATTTCCACCAGCAAGATGCAAGTTCCAGTTGCTCCACATCCATATCGTGTCTTTTAAATCAATCTTTTGGTTAATAGAGTTATCTCATTGTAATTTTAATTTGCATTTGTGATGGTTACTGATACATAAGAGCTTTACATGTACTAATTAGCCTTATGAATTCTTATTTGAGTTAAGTCTCACAAAGTAAGAGTTCTTTATATATTCTGGATATAAATTCTCAGTCAAATATGAGCTGCGTTTTTTCCCAGCCTATGGCTTGCCTTTTCATTCTCTTAACTGTCATTTCATGAGCAAGTATTTAATTTTCATGAAGTCCAAATGACCAATTTTTCTTTAGCAACCTATGTTGTTGTTTGTTTTGTTTTTATAATACATCTAACTAACCTTTCTCCACTCAAATTTTCATATTTTTTTTTGTTTTTCTCTAGAAGTTTTGTAGGTTTTGGTTTTACATTTATGCCTGATCTATTTTTTGATGACTTCTGTGTAAAATGTGAAGTAAAAGCCAAGATGCTTTCTTTTCCCATGTGGATATTCAGTTGGTTCAGCACTAGTTTCAAAGACTTATTCTCTCCACTGACTCAACTTAGTACCTTTGCTGAAAACCAGCTGTGCATGCCATGCTAAACTATGATCTACCTTCCAAAATACATATACTTCCAAACTATGTTAAGTCATTTTAACTTTAGAGATGATGATTTCCCCTCTCATTTTGTAAAATCACCTTAGACACAAACATAACATATTCCCAATTTAAATAAAAAATATAAATAAAAACTCAGCCGGTATGGCTCAGTGCTTGAACACAGACCCATGAACCAGGAGGTCACAGTTTGATTCCTATTCAGAGCACATGCCCAAATTTGCAGGCTCAATCCCCAGAAGGGGGTGTGCAAGAGGCAGCCAATTGATGATTCTCTCTCATCACTGATGTTTGTCTCTCTCCCTTTCTCTGAAATTAATAAAAAATAGATTTTTAAAACATATATGAATACAAACTTAATAAGTTACATATTATATGAGTCACATCTATACTAAGTGGCACTGTAATATTGCTGAGTTACCAAAATTATATGTATTCAGCAAATATAAATTGCCCTAAGCTAATCAAACAGTGCTTAAATCCAATTTTTTACACTTAAATTTTCTCTACAGACCAGTATCAAATTCTGGAATTTAAAAAGACTTAATTAAGTAACTTCATACAAGCAGTCACCAACTTACAAACACAGAAATCATAAATGCCTTCCTTTATACAAAATTTTTAGTAGTTTTTACTTCTAAATACTTCATAACATAACCCCCAACCCTCCTGAATTTTTCCCCAAACCTCCTACCCATTGTCAAGGTTCCACCTCACTGCCCCCTCTCACGGCCAGGGGGAAATAAGTTTCTGGAATCCAGAGTAAAAACTCAGGAACGCATTTTCCTACAGAAAAAAATATAAATTGTGATCTAGAATGCTGAGTATTGTAATTCGGGTATACTATGTCTACAAAGGCTTTTGTGAACTAAAGCCTAAGATCCTAATAACAATACTGAACAATATTTCTATGAGAAAATGCATTCCAGGTTCAAAATAATTTAATACAATCCCTTTGTAGGTTAGTGACTGTCTGTATAATGCCACCAAATTATATATATTTGATTCAACTCATACAATATTACATTTAAAATGGCTACATAACATGACAATTCACTCTGAATGTATATGTCAATCATTTCTAAGAAAAATTAACCATCTTAATTCAATTAAAAACTGCTATAATACTTACATTTAGCATTTCAAAATCATTACTTTCTAAACCCTGTGCCAGAAGAACTGGAAAACTGTTTGTCTGTAGGTCGTCCTTTTCTTTCTTTGATTCTATATTCAATGATCCCAGGCGTTCTTCAATGCTAACCTACAAGAGAGAGGTAACCCGTTAATGATAAACCATTTAGGGCATAAAGTAGTTTCGTCAAATTACTTTTGCTTATATCTGAGAAGACAAAAGACACTGACTGATTCCCACGTCAACCCTGAAAAACACAAGCCTGCTTTCTCATTCCAATAGAACCTCACTGCCATAAAACCAAGTGTAGTATCTAGAATTCCAGTTTCTATGGTCTAGTGAAAAAAACAACTGTCCAAGAAGCCGTAATTTAAATATCCTATATAATAAAAGGCTACTATGCAAATCAACCAAATAATGGACCCATAAGTCATTATGACACACACTGACCACCAGGGGGCAGGCGCTCAACACAGGAGCTGCCCCCTTGGGGTTAGTGGTTCCTATAGGGGGAGCTGCTCAGCCAGAAGCCAGATTCATGGCTGGCGAGCACAGCAGCAGTGGTGGGAGCCTCTCCTGCTTCTGTGGCAGCGCTAAGGGGAAGTAAGGAGCAGCGAGCAGGCAGGTGGTAAAGACTCAGGGGTCACAGACATCCCCCAAAGGGCTCCCAGAATGCAAGAGGGACATCCCCTGAGGGGTCCCGGACTGCAGAGTGCGTAGGCCGGGCTGAGGGGGACTCCCCCCATTCCCCAGTGCATGAATTTCATGCACCAGGCCTAGTTTAATTGATAAAAATCCCTCTATATATGAAGATTCAAAAAGGGCAAGAATCTAACAACTGATTACTAAAACCCAAGAAAAGACCTATTTTCACAAAGTGAAAATAACTGTTCGTTGCCATCAACCTGAGATCTGCAAAAGGAAACAAATACTATTAAAAGAGCATAGAGACTTATTTCCAAAACAATTTTTAAATTTTCCCCTTTATCAGTCAGTCTCAGGTGTTGGTTTATCTATACATCTCTCTCTATATATGTGTATATATAAGCCTAAGTGGCCGAAACCGGTTTGGCTCAGTGGATACAGCGTCGGCCTGCGGAATGAAAGGTCCCGGGTTCGATTCCGGTCAAGGGCATGTACATTGGTTGCGGGCACATCCCCAGTGGGGGGTGTGCAAGAGGCAGCTGATAGATGACTCTCTCTCATTGATGTTTCTAGCTCTCTCTCTGACATCCTGCCCCACCCAGCCGCTCTGCATATGCAAATTAATCCGCCATCTTTGTCGGGTTAGTTTGCACACTCACTCCTGATTGGCCATGGGCGTAGCAGAAGTACGGTTAATTTTACATGTTTATTTATTGTTAGGTAAGATACATTTAATGTTACTGAGAAACAGTTTTTATGGAAAGCAATGTTATTCCCAAACTCCCACTATACAAAGTAAGACATTTAAAATCAGGTAAAGAAACATTAACAGTCTTTCTCTAATTAATGGTAAGAGTTAAAATGCTAGATTACTTAGACCACTGTGATACATGACTGGAAGATGAAAAGAGGATTCTACATATGTAAGTATAGCAACCACAGGAGGGTTTGAAGAGCTGAGAAAAAATAAAATTTATAAGTACTTTAAAAAGTTGTAATAACTATCACTTTTAAAGATCAACTAGCACTAAACCAGGCAGGCATGCTCAGACAGCCAAGAGAAGAGGCATCATTGGAACTCAGCATAATGCGAAACCCAATGAAAATCATCACAGCAAGTCCCGGCTTAATCTGTTTAATTATGTTATCCAACTAACCTAACAAATGGCTAAAACAACTCTCTCTTTAATTAATAGTAGTGCTGTCTTCTTCATTAACAGTGACTTTGTAAGTAAACCACCTGTTAACTCTATGTAGGTCTTACAAAAGTCACAATCTGGAATTTCAGAATCTACACAGCTGGGGATAAATAACCAGAGTGTTAACAGCTACAATCTAAAAGTAAGTTTCTAAAGTTTCAAACTCAAAAATGGTCAAAGTGATTACATTACCTCCTTTTCCCCTAATTTTCTCTTGTTCTCTACTTCCTCAGTTTGTGGAGGAGCAGGCTTGATGGCTGCATGATGACCAGGTAGCCCGGGCACCAGCACTTTTGCTTCAGAATTCATCACTGGTGTTCTCACCTGTTAACGAGGAACGGAAGGGGCATGGATTATCCGTTGGTCCTTACTATATTATCCCCATTGAGAAAATGAACAGCTTTTAAAGGTTTTTCTACTGGAAAACTTATTGACTAACTTAACATAGCTATCAAAGATAAAGTAAATAAATGTTGGCAAATAAGTATTTATTTAAATTATAATTTGAAGCCATAGTTTTAAAGCATTCAAAACTACATTAGATTAAAAGCCAGGAAAAACAAAATCTATGGATTACACAAGGACACACTGACTTAACAATGTTAATGAATAAAGCTGCACATCTTATGACCACCGCCAGTAATTGATCTTTGCCAGAAATGCTCAGACAGCCAAGAGAAAGGTGTCATCTCTGAAATTCAGCCAGAAGCGAAACCATATGGATGTCATCATAGCATGTCTTGGCTTTCCATTTCTCATTAAACTGGCCAAACAATACCTACATATAGATGTCACATTATATTCAAAATAAAGCATCATGATGAGCTTAGCTTTTATTCATGGTCTTAAGTTACAGCCCCATCATGGTTTTAGGTATTATTCCACCCTGAAATATAACATTCTTCTCAACAAATTTATGCTCCTTTAAGTACTGGGTTAAAAAAAATAATTGGTGATTTTGATTTTGATATTTATTCAATGAACATGCATGGAGGCAGAAAGAACTAAAAGCAAGGTCTTCAACTTCTAGACATCTGTTTACTTATTCCATTCAACAAATCAAGAAAACAGAAATGAAGTTTTATAATCTTGATATCTAAAACCCAATCCCACAAAATTTATTAAAATTATAAAGATATTAAAGAATCCAAATATAATATTATGTAACAATTCAATTTACCCAAATCTTTTTTTCTCACCTTCTAGTATGTAAAGCACTTACCTTAGTTATAGCTGTTTCTACTGTTGGAGCCCAGCAGTTTGAAATATCTCTTACTAAGCACATATGAGGTTCTTTGGAATTTAAAGCCTGTAAATATAATTTTGAGAGGACAGTATGTCAAACAAAGTAATTGGGAATAAGAAAACCAAATGCCTACTTATACATTTTCATGAAAATACAGAAAAGTATGAAAGACTTCCATATAAAACTGTGAGCAACTCAGACTGTCAAATTAATAGCACTGAGGGAAATGGGAAAACGGAAGATACAAGGCATTATGTTTACTTTTTTCAGTTAGGAACTGCTTGAATTTTTCACATATTATGAACAGAAATTTTATGTGACAGACTTTTGAGAAAAATGTAAGTTCATCACCCTTGTAAATAATTAATCTGAGCTAAGAATGATCCTACCCCAGATTTCCTACTGCTGGCCTTTCCATAAGTGAGGCTAAGACAGCAGTGCTGATCAACAAAGTGCTCTGAGATTCAGCATTAAACAGGGGAAGTCAAATGCAGCAAAGCCCACACGTACCCATAAGCTTTAAGGTTACATGTAATTCTCTATGCCCATATAATCAATTTGTCTGGAAGGATAAAACAGGAAACAATGGCTGCATCTGGAGGGGTCCGAGGGCAATAGGGTCGACATATGGCAATAAGACTTTTTATTTACAACTTAAAATTTTTCTTTTTTATTATACCAAATCCATGTAGATGTTTTTAAAGTATTTTTAAATAAACTCAACAAGAGCTTGCTTTGGCATATAATATTCCATTCACAGACTCTCTGAGGGTCTTCCTGAATCAATGTTTTATAAATGTACTAGGGGCCCGGGGCATGAAGATTCATGGGGGGGAGGGGGGGGGGCCTCTGACGGGCCTGCCCTGCCCCGCCCCCCCCCCCCCCCCCCCCCCCGTCACAGTTCAGGGGTCCTCAGGGGAGGGAGGCAATCCGGCGATCAGGGGAAGGCAACAACCCCATCACACCTCTGCTGCTGCCACTGCCGGCAATGCAAGCCTTGGCCGGCCATCGTTACCTTAGTCTCAGGTGGCTTATCTATGTCTTGGGCATGCCCCAAAGAAACTTTTGTAATAAAAAGTCAGATGACTGCACCACCCATTACATTTCCACTTAATTCAATGGGTGCTATCACTAAGGGCCCTTTTATTAAGATTTATCTTTTGGGGCCCTAGCCAGTTTGACTCAGTGGATAGAGTGTGGGCCCATGGACCAAAGGGTCCTTGGTTCAAGTCCAGGCAAGGGCATGTAACTTGGTTGCAAGCTCTATCTCTGGCCCCACTAGGACCAAGTGCCAGAGGCAATCAATTGTTATGTCTCTCGTGTCTCTTACATCAATTTTTGCTCTCTCCCCGTCCCCTCCCTTCCACTCTCTCTAAAAATCAATGGAATATTCTTGGGTGAAGATTAACAAAACAACATTAACTTTGGGTAGTTGGGCAAATTCATCCTTATCTGTGAACAGCAGCCATGCCCTAGTTGGGTTTTTTGGTCAGTGGAGAGAGCACTGGCCTGTGGACTGAAGGGTCTCAGGTTTGATTCTAGTCAAGGACACATGCCTGGGTTGTAAGCTCGATCCCCAGCAGGGGGCATATAGGAGGCAGCCAATTGGTGATTCTCTCCCATCACTGATGTTTCTCTCTCTCCCTTCCTCTCTGAAATCAATATGTGTGTGTGTGTGTGTGTGTGTGTGTGTGTGTATTGAAAGCCACTACAAATGTGTGGCTACCAAGCATTTTAAACATGGATAGACCAAACTGATATGCTTGTAAGTGTAAAAGAGACACCAGATTTCAAAGCTATAGCACACCAAACAGAGGAGAAGCAAGCATCAAACATCTCTAATGTTTTATATTAACTGACTAAGCATTGAAATATTTTAGATATGCTCATTTAAGAAAATTACAGTTCACACAAATGAAAATAAACCACCCAGTGAAAGGTTCTTTTTAAGTATTCCAATAAGCAGACCAATGTATCATTTAAAAATCATTGTTTTCCATAGACATGTTGTTACTGCTTTACTCCAGAGTAGCATCTACGTACCACTCGCTCAATGGTGGGCTGAAACCAATTGCCATATACAAGCAACAAGGAATTTTTGTCTGAGCAAAAACCTGCCGCTAGAATAGGGATGGGTTTTGGTGTTGATTTCTTGCCTTTCCCAGGTGTCGCTATCTGAATTGTGCAGTTTGAAGTAAAAGGCTTTTTGCAGTATCTAGAAATAAAAACAATAAATTAGAATATTAGCAATAACATCTCATATTATCTTTGAAGTTGGCATGAAATGTGACCCTCCTTTAGCCTTCACACACCAGGGTCCCCAGAGCACCTGTCAGGACTTCATCTATCCCCAGCCCTATCCAACACTCAAGACCTCACCACCAAGTACTTCCTTCAGCCCATCTGCCCTTCCATCCGACTTGTCAACCCCCACAAGAGGCCCAAGCTCCCACCGGCTCTATCATCACCCTGAGCTTCACTCCCAAATGGCTATGGACAAGCCCTAATCAGCCCCAACTCTAATTACTCCCAACTATTAAAAGCCTCACCAGGATTTCAGCAACATAGTTCCAGGAAAAAAATTATCAGCAAAATATAATCAACAAAACTATATCCTCAGAGTCTTCTCTTAAGAGATCTCTTCACCTTCTTGCTCTACGCTAGCTTACCACAGCAGCCCTTCACAAAGCTGTAGCTGTTTGCTCTCCAACACTCTTTGTGCCAGGGGCTTGGACATAATTTAACATGCTCCTTGTTCTTTAACAAAACACTCCAAGACAACAAATAGTCCCTCTCCCTCCTTCACCTCTAAAACCTTTGAAACTGTTGTCACGAGATACCAAGTACCTCCCGCTCCTGCCACCATCTAAAGCCCTCTGGGTCACTCTCCCTCATTTCTTAAGAGATTTTAGTGGCTCCTGTCATTCTGTCCAACACCACTCCTGAGGAATTCCTCTTAGTGGTTTCTATATTTAGCATGCAGGTCAATGCTCCTCTTGACACTGTCCTCTCAGGTCCCTAACCTTCCTACCTCCAACAACTCTGCCCTTCACTGCATCTCAGCTACTCACTCTCACATCACAGACATCTTATCACCAATCATCTTAACACCCCTCCCACCCCACCGCCATAATCTCAATTGTAAGCACGCCACTATCCATCTTTCCAATTCACCCTTCCTAGTACCCAGACTCCAAAGCAATTTCTATTTAGGATTTTTGACCTCTGCTTTGCCCTTTACACCTCTATAGTCAATTTTCAACACATCAAACAGAATGACTCAAAACTTACATTTTAAAACTGTAAAACCCCACTTATACTGCTTAAAATCCTTCAGTGCCTTACTTACTATAGCCCAAGGAGAAATTTCCAAGTCCTCACCATGGCATACTACTTCTGGGCCCTCAGTGATACAGTCCATGTATACATGACTATGTAAATTAAGGCATCAAGTTATTAACAATTACTTCTAGAGAGTAGAATTCAATACACAGAGACTTGGGTTATAATTGTCTCTGCATACTGAATGTTTTAAAATAAGTGTACATGCTTTCACAAATAATTTATATTTAAACAAATTACTACCCTAGGATTATAAAAGGAAATATCAACTGACAATAAAAAGCTGAAACTATTTTAAATTTTAGTATAATTATGTACATGATTGAGTTCCAACCATGTTTATAGTGTATGGCAGAGGTTGGCAAACATTCTGTAAAGAACCAGGCAGTAAATATTAGTATGTTAGTTCTGGGAGGCCACATGTGGTCTCTATTGGAAAAGGCCTCCAGCCCATAATTTACTGACCCTTAATCTGACTACTATACAGCCTACCAATAACATTCCCCTTTCTCCACCCAACACTAACATCGCCATGCTTCACTGATCCACATGTGTGGTGAGGGGAAGTACTATCAGAGTTAAAAATTAAGGCTTCACTAAAAGTTCACAAACAAAACTCTACAACTAAACCACTTTCTTTTAAAGTTTATCTTTAGAACTACCAACATTTATTGGTACTAAGTGTGCATCACAGAAAGCCATTCTCCTAACCACAAACATGAAGAAATGATTCACAATGCCAAAATCTTTAGTTCTCTCTGGGAATGTATGTAGTCACATGGATTAAGAATTAAGGGTGCTTTCAAAACAATCTAACTGCATTGCAAAGAATATTAGGGTGAAGGTATAGAGAAATAACAAGCCAGGGAAGGGAAATAAATTTCTGACTTAAGAAAATTCTTACTTACCCATTTAATATGTGTTCAAAAAGGTGAACTTGACCATCTCTGCAAACAACAGCTAATTTAACGGGCTAAAAGAAAAAAAATGAGTCATAAATAAACTTCAGTTTACCCTAACGGACAGTTACTTTCATACTACACTTAAAAAACTCCAGAGAAAAAGTTAGAACAGCAAGAATGCATAGTTGTTGCATTTAAAAATAATTACTGTTTTCAAAATAACAATTCAAGTTGTTGTGAAGCTTATAAATAAAAGTTTTTAGCCAAGAAGATAACACAGTCAAGGAGAATTCAGCTTTGGAGGTTCGATAAATGCAAAAGCGGACAACAGGAAACTGTAATAGTCCGGACTGCTAAAGGTGCCACTGGTCCCTTCCTCTCAGGAGAGATGAACAGTGGCCTTAACTGTTATTTCAAACCATCTAAGATTTTTGTCATATTTCATTCTTCCTCCCCCTCTTTTCCTATCTCATTAAATCATCAAAACCCCAATTTTAAAAATATTTGTAAAATCAGAAAACAAATCCTCAAAAATTGAGCCATTTACCTCTTCTTTGTTTTCTGACAAAGTCAAGTCAATATAGATAGGTTCATCTGTAACTGTGAAAGACATCACTGCATTCTTCTGTTTGTTTTCTGACCGGACTTGCCTAGATAACAAAACTGATGATTAGGAAGTAAAACAATTTTTTTAAAGGCAAACACCAAAAAGTAGTCACACTTTTGTAGATCCCCAATTGTTTTTCATCTTTTGAAAACTAATAAGGTAACTAAAGATCAAAGTAAGAGAAGCACTTGTATCACTACTGTATAACATGATTATCTGGGAAAAGAGAAAGCATTAATGCATTTCTGACAGATTTAAACAACAGATAACATTCTCATATTCTTTTCCTATCTGTCTATTTTGATTGATGTTAATGCCACGTTGTCTTCATTACTGTAGTATGTTACTGTAGTATGACAAGTCTTGAAATCAGATGAGTCCTCTAACATTTTTCTTCTTTTCCAAATTTGTTTTGGCTATGTCCATTTCCATTTGAATTTTAAAATCACATTGTTAATTTCTACTTGAGTCTGCTGGGATTTTGACTAGGTTTGCACTGAATCTAAAGGTTAATCCAAGAATAACATCATAGCAATACTGAGAGTCCAGAAGTGTGTGCGCGTGTACAAATGATCCTCATTATTTGAGAATTCACCTACTTGCTAAAAATTATTTGTAAACTCAAACTCAATATCTGTGGAGCTTTCATGGTCTTTTAACAGTTTGTGTACTGGCAGTGAAAAAATGATTTGCCCACCACTCAAGAGGATAAACAAGGCTATGCTCTGCCTTATTTCAGTTCAGTATCACTAAATGGTGCTCATTAAATTGATACAAGAAAATTAAGAGAGTTGATTTGACAAATTCTAAGTTTTTCAAACAAGATTCATTCTAACCTGGACATTCATACTAGACATGTTCAAAATTACTGCCATCAGACCACTATTTACAGAAGAAACTGCGATCTTAGCCTAACGATAGGAGATAGTACTATCTCCTTATATAATATAAAAGTCTTAAAAATCTTTATTCAGCAGCAAAAACCCTTAAATGTTATTTCCTTATATAAATGAATCTTTCAATGGTAATTATCAAGGAATTTTAGGCTCACTCGTCCACAAAAAACAAGGTTTTCATAGATGGCCTTATTGGGAAGCCTTTCAATATAGGCTTTTACTTATTCTTGTCAAAGTATTTAACACAACTGAAATCACCTTTTCTTTTACAGGAAAAATTTGTACACAGAGAACCCTAGGTCTAGGGGTAAAATATTTAAGTCTGAAGCACCTTAGTAATGTCAGAAGTCTTTGGTGGCAGATTTTAGCTTTGGCATTACTAATTTCTTATATAAGTAGTAAACCCTCAAGAACAAAAAGAAATCCCATCAACAGGTACTCCTCAAACATCAGACACAAAATAGAAAACCAATGTAACTTGCCCACCAGGTATTGCTCAGTGGTTGAGCACTGAGCCAGGAAACAAGAGGTCACAGTTAAATTCCTGGTCAGGGCACATGCCCCAGATGGTGTTTCTCTCTCATTAATGTTTCTATCTATACCTCTCCCATCCTTTCTGGCTAAAAAATCAATAAAAACATTTAAAAAAAAAATAAAAAGAAAAGAAAACCAATGTAATCTGACTGAAATATAATTAGAAACCACAGCTTAGCTGATGGTTTGAAGGTAAACAGAGTGGCCTCATGATCCTTTCCGCACACAACTTTAAGGAACACATAATTTAAGACCCCCACTTATATCTGAATATTACTTGATATAAATAGTAACTTTCTATGGCCAAGAACACTCAACTGATTACTAGAATGAAAAACTTCTATATTTTAAATCTCTATTTATTTTGTCCATGAACAGCCAGATGATGCCATAAAATCCAATAAATTTCACATATTTCTTAAATTTGAAAACTTTTTGATGGCACTTTAATACAAAATTAATTTTTACTTTTAAAAGTAGTTTCAAAAACATAGCCAAGTAGATTAATGTCCTCAGTAAATCATCTACAAATGAACATTACTGTACTAACCCAGAAATCATCTATTTCAACAAACTAAGATTTCCCTAAAAATTTTTAAAGGTTATTTTTAAATTTCCCACTAATAAAAATATTGAGCCCACTACATCTCTAATGAACGGAGGAAGGTTCATTATACAATGCTCTTAAATTTTTTTTATATAGGTCAGTTTAAGGCAGACTCAATTCTTCATTATAAGTCAATATAAATCTAACATTAACTATAATAAAGTAAATCTCATATTCATCATTTATATTAACCACATAAGCTGTGATAGATTCTTTCAAGGCAAAGCCAAAAGATTACGTACCAGACATTAAGTAACCGGTCATGTACTGCTCCAGATAGAAAATAAAGACCTGAAATTCCATCAAATGGCTGGCTCTCATTAGGAGGTCTGATAGTAGTGAACCTAAGTGATGAAACTGGCGTTGCATGTCCCGTGAAGTGCTAAAAAAAAAAATTACATCATGTTTATCAGAGGATATAAACCAGTAAAAAAGAGTCCATATGTATCATAAGACATATCTGAAACCAGAGCTCCAGACTAAAGTTAACAAATTTAATTCTAAGAACTAAGGTTACTCGTGCTATATCACTTCTTTTAAAAAGTCCAACAGAAAGTAATAAAAATTAAGAAGTTCCTTTTAACTCCCACGACAGTACTCCACTACCTGTGGTTCTGCCATTTTTGAGTTAAAGATCGACTAAATTCTACCAATTATTAAAGGACTGGAAAGGTGCTCAGACACAGCCAAGGAATTGTAGGTCTTCATTTACTCTCAGTGAGTCGAAACCACAATTTTAAGGCATCATCACAGCACCACAAGTTCAGTAACCCCTGAGAACACTCACATCTAATACTAATCTTCAGTTAAATACTGTAAGTGGACCAAATGCTGAATGCAAGCTAGAAATCAAAATCACTAAATCAGTGCATAATAGAGTAAAAGATTTTTAATTGTAATCCCACTCATTTGGTCTATTCCTTTTTCCAATGTATGTGAAGTGGACATGTATAACCTATTTAATATTTAACACCAACAGCCCTAGCCAGTTTGGCTCAGTAGATAGAGCTTTAGTCAAGGGCATGTACCTTGGTTGTGGGCACATACCCAGAAGGCAGCTGATCAATGTTTCTCTCTCATCGATGTTTCTAACTCTCTATCCCTCTCCCTTCTCTCTCTGTAAAAAATCAATAAAATATATTTTTTAATAATAATAATAATATTTAACACCAACCAACCAGATTTGGAGGCTAACTTTTGCCTAATAATTCTACTATTTGATATGTTTAAAAATAAAGAATGTGTTTGTTTTTTAATGATTTTATGTAGAGAGAAAAGGAGAGGGAGAGAGAGACCCATCAATGATAAGAGAAAATCGCTGATCGGGTGCCTCCTACACCCCCTTACCCTCTACTGGGGATTGAGCCAGCAGCCCAGTATGTGCTCTGACCTGGATTCAAACTTGGGATCTCTTAGTCCATGGGACAATTTCAATCCACTGAGTCACACCAGCCAGGCAAGAATCTGTATTCTTAAAATAATATACTATGACCCATCACCTCTGATTTCTCCATACTTACTTTAGATTACTATTATGCTTATATCTAAATTGATTCACTCACTCTGTATAGTTCTTTGGTCTCCAAAACCCATAGTTTGATTGTTCGACCAGCTGAAAGCAACATCTTTCCATCTGGGCTGATACACAGGGAACTAACACTGCTGTTGTCACCTTTCCATTTGCTGAATAGTGAAGAGAAACAAAAATATCTCAATACAGAGGAAACTTTATTCAGAGCAAAAACATAACAAAAAAATTGCATTCCCTAAAAGCTTGTGTCAGGAAACTTGACATTATCACTTGAACATAACCTTGAACATATCACTGAGGTAAAGCCTCCCTGATAAGATTGGTTTTTAAAAGGTATCAGGAAATGGTTAAGAGATGTAAGAATGTAAAATGGGTAGTTGAATACCCTGTGATCCATGAGGTGGATCTTGTTAATGCCAGGAAATTACCATGCTAGCTGGACTTCTGCAAGTCCATCCTACCACCCCACCCACCTCCCCACCACCGGTGCCCCAACCACAATGGTTCCTACATGCTCTGGAGAACTGGCTTTTTAAATATATATATATATATATATATATATATATATATATATATATATATATATATATTATTGATTTCAGAAGGGAAGGGAGAGGGAGAGAGGGATAGAAACACCAATGATGAGAATCATTGATCGGCTGTCCCACACTCCCCCCGCATGCCTTCTATTGGGGATTGAGCCCGCACGCTTGGGCAAGTGCCCTGACAAGGAAGGGAACCATGACCTCCTGGTTCATGTTAATACTCAACCACAGAGCCACGCCAGCTGGGCTGAAGAGCTCACTTTTAATTTACCTAATAATACAAATGATTCCTCAACCAAAAAGGTTATGTCATCCCAAATCCACATAGATGAGCCCCATCTGATAGGTAAAATAAATTAGTTGTAGATTACTCCTTTTTAATACTTCAAATAGAATTAGTAACAGTCTTTGCAGTTTGCTGCACACAATAATACTGTCATAGGCAGCAGGGAGCTTAACTATTCACTTATAAATCAAGAAATAACAGTAGCAAACTTATGACCAAAAGAGGTTAACTCAAAAGTGAAAGAAAATGTATTGCTCTACCAATCACATTGGAATGTCAAATTACTCATTTGAAAAGAACTTAAGACTCCTACCTTATACTATATGCACATAAGACTTACTAAAAATAAGTACTGAAAAATATATAGAACCAACTTTATAATCCTGGGGTTAGGACAGATTTTTCCAAAGCAATTATAAACCAGAAATCATAGAGGGAAAAACAAAGACCTGATTTATATCTGTACCACTAAATAAGTGATAAAATAAAAGCAAAAGGCTAGAAAAAAATGTCAAATAGATATATTAGCCCCACTAATGTGGTTCAGTGGTTGAGTTTCAACCTATGAATCAGAAAGTTATGGTTCAACTCCCCATCAGGGCATATTCCCGGGTTGGGGGCTCAATCTCCAGTGCAGGGCATGCAGGAGGCTGCAGATGAATGATTCTCTCTCACCATTTATGTTTCTATCTTTCTCTCCTTTGCCCTTCTTCTCTGAAATTAATAGAAATATACTTTTAAAAAGAAAATACCAGCACAGAGCTAATATCACCACTTCCTCCACTCGTTCTCCATTAAAAGCTTTACAAGCCTAAGTGTAACCCTCCTATATTAGTATTACCTGAGAATCTGTTAGAATTACATATTTCCAAGCCCCAAACTAGACCTACGAAGTCAGGTCTGTATGCACAAGTACTGTATATACACAGTAGAGCTTGAAAAGCACGAGATCAGAAGACTCCACTCTGGGAAATGTGGTTGGTTCCAGAGGAGTGACCCATACTGAAACCTGAAGGCCGCCCAATCATTCTACAAACGAAGCCCAACAACTGAGCCACAGAACACACACAGTCCTTCGATTAAGGTTTTTAATGTTTCATTTTCAAAAGCAACAGCCAGCCGAAGACCTGCACTCATTTAAAAATGCCTTTAATATTAAAGACAGATTGAAATCAAACAAGACACAAGGGACAAAAGAAATAAACTTTAAATCCTATAACTAATTTCTTTAGAGTTAGAATATAGTAAGTGCATAAAAGGAGCATGATGCAACAAAAAAATATTCAGAAAACAAAAAATAGTTCCTGTAAATTACAAAATATGGTAAATTTAAAAATTCAATAAAAGATTTGGAAGATAAAATTGAAAAAATTCACCAGCTAACAGAAGAGAAAGACAAAAGAGAAAAAATAAGAGAAAAAGAAACATAAATCTTAAAGCAGAAGTCCAGGAGATATAAAATCTAAACAACAGTGAGTTCAAGAGAATGATTGAAAAAAATAATAATGACAACAAGAAAACCACAGAGGGGACAAATATAGTATAAGAAAATTGAAGAATACAGATTTCCAGGCTAAATGGTGCCTCAAATTCCAATATAATTTAATGACTAACAAAAAAAAATCTCAGGATATTTTAGAGTACTAAGGATATTAAAACCAATAAACCAATGCTCAAAATCCTGAGGGAAAATTATTTCCAACTTAAAATTACTTGTCCTCACCCAGCCGGGTGTCGCTCAGCAGTTAAGCTTCGACCCAGGAACCAAGAAGTCACTGGTTTGATTCCCTGTCAGGGCACACGCCCAGGTTGCGGGCCCAATCCCCGGTGGGGGGCGTGCAGGAGGCAGCCAATCAATGATTCTCTCTCATAATTGATGTTTCTATCTCTCAACCTCTCCCATCCTCTCTGAAATCAATAAAAATATAAAAAAAATAAATTTTAAAAATTACTTATCCTAAAACTATGAATCAACTGTGAGGCTAGAATGACGACTCTCGTGAGCCAGCAAAATTTCAATAAATTTACCATCCCTGCACCCTTTCTTAGTAAGCTTCACCATAAGGAGCAAAAAGAACCCGGATAGCCACAGCAATCCTGAGAGAGAAGAACAAGTTGGAGGAAATTCAATGCCAGATATCAAGCTATACTACAATGCCACAGTTCTCAAAACTGCCTGGTACTGGCATAAGAACACACATATAAACCAATAGAACAGCGAACCCAGAAATCAACCCAAATCACTATGCTCAATTAATATTTGACAAAGGAGGCAAGAGCATACAATGGAGTCAAGACGGTCATTTCAATAAATGGTGCTAGGAAATTTGGCCAGATACATGCAAAAAAAAAAAAACCCCAAAAAACTAATTACCAACTTACACTAAACAAAAAAATAAACTCAAAATGGCTAAAGGACTTAAATGTAAAACAGGAAACCATAAAAATCCTACAAAACTCCAAAAGGCAGCAAAATAGCAGACGTGTACCGACACATCTCTAGTGCAATGGAAACTAAGGCGAAAATAAACAAATAGGACTACATAAAAATAAAAAGCTTCTGCACAGCAAAAGAAACCATCAACAAAACAATAAGCCCATTGCATGGGAGAACATATTCATCAATGATATTTCCGATAAGGGTTTAATCTCCAAAATTTACAGAGAACGAAAGGAAGATAAAAGATCCAATCAAAAAATGGGCAAAGGATCTAAATAAATAGACACTTTTCAAAAGAGGATATACAGAAGGCCCAGAGGTATATGAAAATAAGCTCAAAGTCACTAATTATCCGAGAGATGTAAATCAAAACGAGATACCTCACACCTGTCTGAATGGTTATCATCAACAAATCAACAAACAACAAATTCTGGCAAGGATGCAAAGTACTGGTGCTGCCACTGTGGAAGACAGTATGGCATTTCCTCAAAAAGTTAAAAATGAAAGTCCCATTTGACCTAGTAATCCAGGACTATATCCAAGAAACCAGAAACACCAATGAGAAAGGATATAAGCACCCCTATGTTCATAGTAGCACAATTTACAATAGCAAAGATTTGGAAACAACCTAAGTGCCCATCAGCAGATGAGTGGATTAAAAGACAGGTACATCTACACAATGGAATACTATGGCACTATAAAAAAGAAGGAACTTTTACCATTTGCAACAGCATGGATGGAACTGGAGAGCATCATGCTAAGCGAAATAAACCAGTTGGAGAAGACAAATATCACATGATCTCACTCATATGTGGGATATAATGATCAACATAATTTGATGAACAAGAATAGATCCAGAGACAAATGGCATGGGAGAGGGTTAGAGAGCAACCCAAGGACTTGTATGCATGCATATCAGCATAACCAATGGACACAGACACTGGGGCGGTGGGGGCTTGCCCGGGATGGGAATGGCTGGGGGAGTCAATGGGGGGAGGGGGAACAAATATATAAAACTTTAGACAATAAACTAAAAAAAAGAAAAAAAATGAATAAAGTTGGTTTTATGAAAAAGCAAAAAGAGCAAACCAACAATGAAACATGGAATTTAGGAAATAGAGGCTACTTTTCAAGATGATGGAAAAAGGAAATCCCAGGACAACTATTCAGCAGACCATCCAAGGCAGAAGTCTTCAAAAAAATAAATGTAGTTGGAGGAAAGCCTCCAATAAATAATAAAACTAATGTCTAAAAATAACTGAGAATTAAAAAAATAAATAAAAATAACTGAGAATTATACTACTACAGAAGTGAGAATGAAATGACAAGTATATAGAAACCTAAGCAAATGCACAGTTAATTCCCTCAAACCAGCTTGTTCCAATATATTCTAGACACCAGTGACAGATTACTTTTTTCCAGGGCATTGTTTTGATTATTACACACCAGTAGGGGGTGTGCAGGAGGCAGTGATCAATGATTCTTTCATGGATGTTTTTCTCTCTCACTACCTCTCTGAAATCAATAAAAATATATTTTTTTAAGTTCCTTGAGAAGAGTCTATAGTCCTGTTAGTGTCAACATTCCCCACTATGCCCAATATCAAATTTTACTTATAGCAAGAATACAATCTTGGGGGGGAAATTTTAAAAACCAGTCTTCATTTGTCAAATTCTAATGTATCTCCAAGTCAATCCTCCAATACTACAGAACCATCAATGTTACTCACCACTTTACTTTGCACGTCTGTGTATTCCATTCCACAATATGTTTATCATCTGAACAACTATACAAACAGCCATTGTCTTGATGCCACTGTATGCAATTGACTTTGTTGTCATGTCCACCGCTCTGAAGATTTAAAAAAAAAAAAAAAAAAAAAAGAGATTAAAGGAAAAAAAATTTCATATGCACCCTGGAATCATCACTAAACAGTTAACTAAAACATTAGGCTTGGGTTAAACTAAAAAGACCTACATCTATCCGTTTCTAACATAAAAAATGAGATAAATCACCCATATGTCATCAAATGTTAACCTTCCCTTCTCTGCTGGAAAAACATACTTCTACATGCCAAGTTAAAGGATCCTAATCCTAACTGCCACTGCTTTTAACAGGTATGCCAACATAAAGCATGGTACATTCTTCATATACAGTGGCAAAAAAAAAAAAAAAAATTATTACACTAGAGTGAATTAGTAAAGCCCAATCCTAAGAGTTTAAAGTCAACATTTTAGGTAAAAATCATGGCCAGTCAAAATTATCATTGAAAATCCTTTTTAAAAGGTGCCAAAACTGTCTCAATAAAGAAATCACTGTTCTTTTCAGGCAAACACTAAATGTTTCCTTGGGTCTTAGATATCATATTAATGATACTTTAAACATTCTAAACATGGCAAGATGCTTGCTTACTCAGAGGCACAAGATTAAAAGAAATTTTCACCACTTATCAAATTAGCTGTTTTCTGGTTAGTGTTATTGCTATTTTAATGTGAATATTCAATGCAGGCAATAATGCTATTGGTACCATCCTTCCATTGCTGATGTAAGTACAAATCAGGAAAATCCTTCCAACAAGTATTTTTATACTATGTAAAAAACGCCTTAATATTCAAAACCTTTGACTCATTAATTACAAGTTAGTAATTCCAGAAATTCATGTAAGAAAAAAAAAATGAGAATACCAAATAAATATCAGAAACCATGGTAAATGGTAATAACAAGGGACCATCCAATTTAATGTATTTTAGGCAGTCATTAAAAACGTTTATAAGTAATTCTTGACAAATATGAAAATTGTTTATGTTGTAATGGAATGGAAAATATTGTGTTTCCCCGAAAATAAGACATCCTCCGAAAATAAGACCTAGTGCATGAAACAATAAGACATCCCCTGAAAATAAAATCTAGCGCATCTTTGGGAGCAAAAATTAATATAAGACTGTCTTATAATATTTTCAGGGAAACAGGGTATCAGAATACGCTGAAACCGGTTTGGCTCAGTGGATAGAACGTCAGCCCGTGGACTGAAAGGTCCCAGGTTCGACTCCAGTCAAGGACATGTACAATGGTTGCGGGCACATGCCCAGTGGTGGGGTGTGCAGGAGGCAACTGATCTATAATTCTCTCTCATCGATGTTTCTAACTCTCTATCCCTCTCTCTTCCTCTTTGTAAAAAATCAATAAAATATATTTTTTTTAAAAGAAAGAAAATATCAGGATACAAAATACCCAAATGTACTTTTTAAACATATGCATAAGGCCAAGAAATATATAAACTATCAAACAGGATCTTAAACTAAAAACAAATTTAGGTATAAAATTTTTCACTTTTCAACATTATGTAGTTCAAAAGTAGGTAAAATGTAACTTAAAAAAGAAAACATTTATTCATATCTACAGAAAGCATTCCTATCTAGTGGATACCAAAACATACTGCAATAAATCTTATCTGAAACAAAGTATGTCAGAAGTTACTATCTTGCAGAGATAAGCCCTCACTCTGCAATGCCAGGGCTGGCTTCTACAAACCATGTTTCTGCTTTGCCAGCTGGATGGCCAGGAGGCTCCACCAATAATGGGCGCTACAGGAGACAAGTCTGGAGGGACAAGAGACTTATTCCTTCCTATCTCCCAGTTTGCATCATCCCACTGCTTCTTCAACCCAGCAGTGGCAATCTTTCTAGCAGTGGCTGAATGCAATTTTTCCAGCACTTGGAGAACAGTTTCATCACCTCCCTTCAGACACCAGCAGTCAGCTGGAGCCCTCCCCTCGGGAGCCCCTCCTCAGAGTTCGGGACCCCAGGTCCACGGGGCCAACTTCTGGTCAAGAGACAGCACCACATGAAGAGCAACACAACTCAAGGGTCTGAGTTTCAGCAATAATTCCAACCATCTCCTTCGTTCTCTGAGAGATGGTGGACTTCCTCCTACAGTTTTCTATGGAGATACTTAGAATTCTTTTCACCCTTTCTTATTTTCAATCTAGATAACATTGTTCTTATTATAGATTATCCTGATCTATAATAAGAACAATGTTGCCTACCATAGCTATGATCAAATATTATGTTCAGAATTTTAAATGTGCAAGGGGCAGAAAAATGCACCCATAGTGCACTGTAATTACTACTGCATATCCTAAATAGTTTTTATTTAACGAATCTCTAATATACCAGTTTCCCTGCCATAGCTTTTATAGCACATACACACATACTTACTACTAATTTACTGTGTAATTCTCCTTTTACTGTGCTGTATAATAAAATACTACCAACTGCTGTGCCAAGAGCCAACAAGTCAATCTGGTTACTTGTTTCTATAGGTTCTGATTTCCTTTTTTTCCTCTGGGGACTTTCCTAAAATAAAAGAAAAAAAAATGTTTAGTTTGTATTTAGAACACTGAAACATCATTAATGCATAAATGCAAATGCCCAATAACCCACAAAGGAAATGTAATTGCTACTAAGTGACATTACTTAAAAAAAAAAAAAAAAAAGTGGAGGTAGGATTCCCACTTTCTCACTACCAAGAAAAAAATCAATCCAACAGCACAGAAGAGCTCTCGTCCCCCATCTCCTACTTCCCTGGAAGGAAGGTGTCAAGTAGAACAACCTGGTATGCTCTTGATATTCTGTTAACAGGTCCAATGTTCCAATCCCAAGCAAAGAGATGACAGACCCATACCTGCTAGTAAGCAGCCAACCATCCCCCCTTTCACTTCTTCTTTTCTTTCACATACTAGCTTTGTTTTTAGGAAAACAGGCACAAATGTCTTAATATTTGTAAAATGCATTTATTTTGAGTGAAAAAATTGCTGTAACTAAACAGCAGCACAGAACTAGTCTAAAAGTTGTCTTGATTCCAATGACAGAAGAGGCACAAGTTTAAATCTAGTCTCAAAGGCGATAAGACTTAGATTTATTTCAAAAATGATAGTAACAGCTGTTTGTCCATCAAAAGACAATCAATGATCCCAACTTCAGAGTACAATGTCAGTTTATAATGCTGAAAATTGTAATTTCCAAAATTATCTTCCATATTTGTAATGTTTTAAAATTAAAGCCTCCCAGCCTATATTTTAGCATTAAAAAGCTGAGAAATCCGTTCATTTAGTGTAAAACGGACCAATACCCAAAGGGACTTTTTCCCAGTAGAGCACGATCTTTTCTCTATAGCACAAAAAAGCAGTCACAAAAAATCTGCTCCACCCAATACCCACCAATGAAAACTATGTTACCAGTGCATAAAGAATATCAAGGAATAGATTTATAAAGCATTTTCCATGTTTTTCTTTATGTTATTATATAGAGATGGTACATTTGAAGAATTTGATCCACTGGACATACTAATCAACGATAAAAAAAGATTTAACTAAAAATAGATTAACGTTCTACACACAGAAAAAATAACACATTTTGCAAGTTCTGAAAAATGTATCCACATTCGTAGACCCAAAAGAGATGTTACAATTAAAAGCCAAAAAATAAATCAATCTGATAATCTCAAGAGTAACATTTAATTTGCTGGAAACCTTGAAACTTTAGCACAAGGTTTGTCCTAGATCCCAGCTTCAGTTAAATGAATTTCTAAAGCCACATATGAATGACCCCAGAAAGCAAATTTGGTTCTGCATATGGTTATGAACAAACCCCTCTTTCAGGTGAGGATAATCGGGGAAAGTATACCTATTACTACCTCATCAGAAAACTCTAAAAGATTCCAGAAATTATTTCTTCTGCTTTGGTTTTCCCAAATCAAATTAGAATTATCTACACTGAGGTTTCTAACCTGTACAATAGTTTGTTTTTCTGTGGATTTGCATTTAAAAGCACAGAAATTTTAGAGATTAAACATTAGCATATTCAAAGCCCTAGTTTTCCTATCAGCAAAACGTGTTTTTGGGAGAAGCAAGCAGAGTGAACATGTGGTAGTATTATCCAATTTTGAGGATCTAAACATAAATATAATCTAATTAATCTCAAAGAATTACTGACTCATGTATGTTTTCTCAGTTTTAGAAGATCTTTTTAAAAATAACTTCCCATTCAGCTGGATGAACATGTCCAAACATGTAACACATCAACCAGTTAAGAAGTTTCAATAACCAATGTGCATTTTAGTGAACTCTAATATTTAAAGTACTACCTCATTACTAAATATTTCTGAAACCAAGTTTAGTATACCTGATGATAACAGGTTATGACAGGCCTTTGTTGGCATTTTCTATCTGAACCTGTTATTCTTGTGATCAAAAACGTCAACGGCAACCCTGAGAAGAGTAAAACATCTAACTGGCATTCAAAAGCATCCCCAATTTGCCTCCAACTCACCTTTTCCAGCTTATTTTCAATTCCACCCTTACATTAACTCCCTGATCACAAATAAACTTTCTCATTTTGCCTTTGCACTTGTAGGGGCCTTTTCTTACTCATCTCAATGATCATTTGATTTAAAAAAATATCTATCCATGCTTCGAGGTCTACCTCAAATAACGTTTCTCCACAAAAACGTCTTCTTTTTCTTAAGGCACAAGTGATACTGCTCTGCTTTGCACTTCAGATGCAGGGTAGCGGAATGTCTTTATTCTAGTCACACTGTTTGTTTCCTCTAACCTTTATACATTTACATGTACAATTTATGTCACTTGCACATAAATTGTACATGTAAATGTATAAAGTAATGGAAAGGGTAGGCTAAAACTTTGGTTCCTATGTGTGTATGTGATTGGAAATCCTGAGTTCCTGAAGGTACCAGGAGTGAAGACCAAAAGGATATGATTTTTTTTTTAAGGCTAGAATCTTTCTCAAATATGAAGGTGCAAGTGAGCTAAGCAATCAATACCAACCCTAGTCTGAAGACAGATGATCAGAATTTGATCCAGAAGACATAAGACTGAGTGAGACACTGAATGGCACAGGTGTATAATTTATAAAAGGAAGACACAGTACAGATGTGGTAAAAACAGAGAAAAAGGCATATCGAGGTAAAGAGAAGTCTGAATTTGATCAATTAAGTAAACTAAATCCCAGAAGAAAAGTGTTTACATGGAGAGCCAGTGCATACTCATAAGAATGTGTGTATATATAAGTGAAAGAAGTTTCACCAAAAAATGTATCCTTTACCATGCAAAATACTCTATTATTGTCTTATGCAATGACAACCCCCTAATCTATTTCACAACCCACTAACAATCCACTAATGCATTTTTGAAAAATACTGACCTCTAGACACTGAAAATTATGCCAAAGTTTCAAATTTCATTCTACAATTAGTCTTCTATGCCATTTCTCGGCCTTAGTCACTTACTCTGGCAAGTTTCATGGATAGCAATGAGCAAAATGTGTGCATTTTATATATAATTACATATAGTATTTATATAAAAAACAATTACTAGTACATTCTAATACAAAGGAAAGTCTATTTTTTTAATGCATTTTATTGATTTTGTACAGAGAGGAAGGGAGAGAGATAGATAGTTAGAAACATTGATGAGAGAGAGTCATCGATCAGCTGCCTCTTGCACACCCCCCACTGGGGAGATGCCCGCAACCAAGGTACATGCCCCTGACCAGAATGGAACCCAGGACCCTTCCGTCCCCAAGCCGATGCTCTATCCATTGAGCAAAACCGGTCTCAGGGGAAAGTCTATTTCTGCCAGTGGGATCTTATCTGCAAAGTTTACTTTCTTTTGACATTTAATACTAGAGAGACCTTAAGACAGAGCATTGTACAAGAACACAACTAGATGGTGCTACATCTATAAGGGAAAGGAGTGGGGATGCTCAGCTCATATTTTTCCTAGAAGCATCCTTTATACTAATGTTTGCCCTGTCCAATGTCTGAAATGCCATATGCTTCTTTCAGCACGTCCTAAGAAGTGACAGCAAAACAGCATAAATACATTTACTATGGTAGCCAATAGTAAACAAGGTCTACTTCTCCATGCTCTATGGCAGATAAAGCAGAAAAGGAGAAAAAGTTTGAAAGATTTAAGGGGGGAATGAAGAGCAAGTCAGTTCCTAGATGGCTTAACCACTTACTGTGTGACTTTGGCATATAATATAACATCTCAGTCTTAGTTTGCACACCTAAACCCAAGGAGCTCAAACAATAGCATCCATCCATAGTCCATCAATGTCTCCCTGTACTTTTCTTGTCATCATTCAAGGTCCTCTTCGCCCAGAAATGCTCAGCTATATAATATGTACAAAAACCCTTTAAAAACTACTGTGGCCTAAATGTAAAGTATTATAATCACTCTATGACTGAGAAAAGAAGTAGCAGTCTAAATTTCCTACACATTTATAAACTGCTTTAACTCCTGTTATCTAAAAAAAATGACATCACCCATTTTCCCTCTATGGATATCATCAAACTTTGTCCTTGGGTGGTGAAATGCCAATCACTGAAACATAGAGGGTATTCTTACAAGCTGATTTTCAATGAGGAGTGGAGCAGCAAACCATAGATGAATCCATATGGATCATTCATTGACTCTTTCAATAACAACTAACATTGAGCACACACTACATGCCAGACCATGCTACACCAGTCATAGTATCTCAACTCCAGGGGCCACAACTACTTTATTGGTCATTAAGAATTTGGTGAAGTCATTTAAACTTTCTTAGTTCCGATTCTTAGTTTTAAAAAATGTAATAACTTCAGGGCATTTTATAGAGTTGTGTGGCTAAAATGAGAGAGAATACAGGCAAAAGGATATGAAACCTATAAAAGAACTTTTTAATGAAACCCCTCACACTTTTCAATGAGGCCCCCAAAATTAAAGTGACTTGCCTAATGTGACAAAACCAAGTTTGAGTTGAGTCCCGGTTATGAAACCAAATCCAAATACTTTTCTATTGTATTAGAGTGCTATATTTAATTCATAACTATGACTTTTAACAGGAAATTTAAGCCTAGATAAATGTTTTATTTCTTAAGCATTCAATGTAATTATAAGTCTACAGAAAACCAGAACGGTTTTTTACCAGACTAATATTAACTATTCGTCGCATATAATGGAGAACTGAGCTCAATTTTTTTGCTTTCTGCAAGTTGCTTAATTTTCCTGAGCCTGATTCTTCCAAACAAGTCAAAAAGTTAGTCTTTACCTTGCATAACTAACCATACAAATAGTAGTAACAAAACTTGTGGCACTTACACCAAGAACTATTCTAAATGCTTTACACACTAAATGTGTTAACCTTCACAAACACTCTGTGAAGTGGGTACTATTATCTCCATTTTACAAATAGGGAACTAGCCTGGGTTCAAAGACAGGCAGTCTCGCTTAATCGCAGTTCCCACGTGCGTGTGAGTTAGAGCAGATGCGGTCGTGACTCACCAGGGCATGGCATCTTACCTGAGATGAATCCTAACAGAGAAAAGCCTTCCCAAAGTCGGCCGTGTCCCATCTAAGACAAACTTCACCTGGACTCATATTTAAGTTAAACCATTTCACTTTACCTACATAGCCTAATACTGACTTCAGACTTGGGGGGAAAGGATGCATTCAAAGTGAAGTCAAGCCTCTGTTAAAAGCAAGAAGCTGCAAACGGCTGAGGATGGAAAGGAGCCTGCGAGAATCCAGAGGGCGAGTCCCACGCCTTGGACGTGGAAGACAAACACGTGGTGAGCCGGCACCCAAGGGTGGGGTGGGGGTGCACGGAAGCAAGGAAACCGACTTGTTGATTCCAGCCGCCCAGGGCAAATCCGATGAGAGGGTAAAGAGTGAGTTCGATGAGTGGTGTAGCCCCGAAGTGGAGCTCTGTCAAAAGCCAGGGCTCGGAAGATCGCATTCTGTTCAGCGAGGCCGGGCAGCCAGAGGGGCCGGGGCCTCGGCGAACATGGCGGCCCTGGAGACAGCGGGGAGAGGGCGAAGACCGCATGGAGCCCGCCGACAGGGCTCTGGTCCACTGCCCATCGGATCAGGCCGGGCACTCAGTTCGCTGCCCTCTGGACAGCCCGCCGGGGACTGGCGACGCCGGGGCCCACTCCGCGCCGCCGCCGCCACACTCCCCGCCTCCACGCCCCGGGCTCCCGAGGGCCCCGCGAGACGCGGGGCTGCGGGCCGTGGGGCTGGGGGGGGAGTCGAGCCGAGCCCGGGCGGACGCCCAACCCCCGCCGTCCCGCTCGCTTTACCTTGGCCTGCAACCGCGTTGGCGCCCATGCCAGGCAGGTGCAGGTACCGCTGAGGTGCGCGGAAGGCACGTACTCTTGGTGTAGCCGGTTGTTGGCTGTCTCCCACACTCGCAGGTGACCATCTGCGGACGCCAAGGCGAAGAAGGCCTGACTGTGCGGGGAGAAGGCGCAGGGGACCCCCGCGGAAGACAGGGAGTCGGCGACTCGGCCGCCACCCGCCGCCATTGCTGCTCGGCTCCGCGGCAGCCACGTGTTCGCTGGCGCGCATGCGCACCGGGGCGGGGCGGGGCCTGAGGGAGGAAGTGGGGGGGGAAGTGAGGCGGAGGAAGTGGGGGCCGAGGGAGCCGGGGGCGTGGCTCTGGGCGACGCCGGAGAACGTAGGGCGGGCCCGACCTGCGGACAGTGGCCCGCTGGGCCCAAAACTAACTTGTACCAAGTACCGTGAACGCGTGGAGTAACTGGACGGGTGCGTTGCAGGGCAGGGCCCGTTCCTTTAAAACAAGAGAGAGGTTTGAGTTGTTTACTTTGTTTTTGAAACTTTATTTTTCATCCACCTTATTTTCATTCCGTTTAAGAGTTTGTGGAAGAATAACTTAAGACCGCACGTAGTGGGTGTCCCTACCCATCCAGTGGCCTGAGCTGTGGGGGCTGCAGACCAGTCTTCTGTGGCAGGCTCAGTGCTGAGTCTTCAATAGGGAACTGCTGAATAGGCAGAGAGGGCACCTGCTCGTCATCAGACCCATCCTTGGCCTCAGGCTGAGCGGCAGGAACACCCTAAAATTATCTCTCTTCCGTTTCAGTCTCTTCGTGCTCTCCGTAGTAGAGACCAGGCTTAACCTCCCACGGATGTTCATGGGAGATGGTGCCACAGAACTTCCCAGCCAGCATCCACCACATTAGACCCACTGAGTGAGCTCCTTGTTGAGTGAGTCGTTGTTGTTGCAAGGGCTGGCAAAGTCCGCATAGCCTAGAGGAGAGTCTGCGTTACACAGAGCAGTGGTAGGCAGTAAGACATGTCTAGGAGAAGTTGGTCATCAGCGCTAGGATCAGTAATCACCAGAGTCTGGGCTCCCATATGACTACCTGGACCTGGTTAGTGAAGATTCCAGGAGGAAAGCAGCTGGCAGTCAGAGTGGCTCCAGTGGCAAACTTCAGCTTGCTGGCCAGTATTCCTGGAAGGTATGACACTGGCATCAGCAGGGTTTTCAATGGCAACAGTGGCTTGAACTGCCAGCAGAAGCCTCTCCCAGGTTCTCTTCAGATTGATGGCGTAGATGCCATCACTTTTCCTTTTGTAGATGCATCGTTCCATTTTGGAAGTCAGGGTTGGTGCCACCTAAGTGGGCAACAATCGGTTGCCTCCTTTACGTGCCCCAAACGGGGAGTGAATCCGTAACTGAGGTATGAGCCCTGACTTGGAATCGAACCCAAAACTAATTTTGGTGTACAGGGATGATGCATCAATCAATTGAGCCACCCACACAGGACAAAGCTGTTTTTGTTTTTTATTTTATTTTAAATAGCGTGATTAAACAAATGTTTAAAAGAAATACTTTTAACTGTACGATTATAACAATCATTTCCATTTTTGCCTATCCATTTTCAATCTATAATCATGTATACACATAATAATATATCCAATTATAACAGTGGAAAAGTAAAGTGAATAGTGCAATTAGTTTAATTGGGAAAAGAAGTTTGAGTGGAGTTCTACTTTGGATAGTTTAGTACAATATGCATACTAGAAATCTAAATAGAGTTGTTCAGTAGGAAATTGGATATGTGAGATGACTGCTAAAAGAGACAGATTTTGGATACGTTAGAAGACAGATGCTATTTGAAACTGTGGGGCTGGTCAAATTATATTGAGTGGTGTCTAATAGAAATGGAAATTCACAGGACTTGACCACTGATCAGAGGTTATAAGTGTTCATCTGTCTGTGCCAGAGAGAGCTTCACAGAGAGAAAAGTCACAGATGACTTGGAACATTTTAGCTTAGAAATAATAGAAAATCATGTGATTTTAACTGATACAGGGAATAGAAGAGGACCAGGCTTTCAGGGAACTGGAAGAACAAAAAGGAGAAAGGAGGAAATAATGAGTTAGTTCAGTTTGGGTCATGCTGAGTTTGAGGCACTAATAGATCAACCAGAGATGGTGTCTAACAGACAGTTTAAATTATGAATTTTATTTTTTTAAAGATACAAGGACCTGTCTATAGTTTATAGTTTTCCATTGTCTCTTCAATAGTGAATACTGCTTCAGTTACTTTCCCCCTTAATAGACTCCCCCCCCCAACCTGCCCTATTTTAAAAATATATTTTTTATTGATCTCAGAGAGGAAGGGAGAGGAGAAAGAGATAAAAACAATAACGATTAGAGAAAATCACTGATAGCCGAAACCGGTTTGGCTCAATGGATAAGAGCGTCGGCCTGCGGACTGAAAAGTCCCGGGTTCGATTCTGGTCAAAGGCACGTACCTTGGTTGCGAGCACATCCCCAATGGGGGTGTGCAAGAGGCAGCTGGTCGATGTATCTCTCTCATCGATGTTTCTAACTCTCTATCCCTCTCAATTCCTCTCCGTGTAAAAATCAATAAAATATAAAAAAATTAAAAAATTAAAAATAAAATAAAATCACTGATAGGCTGCCTCCTGCATACCCCACACTGGAGATCAAGCCTACAATCCAGGCATATGCCTTGACTGGGAATCCAACCGTGACCTCCTGGTTCATAGGTCGACACTCAGTCACCAAGTTACTCAGGGCAGGCAATCAACAGACTATTGAGTAGATCTTGGAATTCAACCACTATTTATCTTAGATTGAAAATGTCTTATTTACAAGTTTTAGGTATACACTCATTTATTAAGTGAGGATTGCCTAAATTAGCAAGCATGTACCTGTAAGAGAAAATGCTAATTGCTTCCAAATCCACATTTTCTCCTCTTCAACAGTAATAGAATTTCAGATTTTTTAGTTGGGCCTATGGTCAGCTCTAATAAAAACTAAATTTCAGGGGGATGATGGGAGCAGTCTGAAAAAGATTAATGGAGGGGGCAGGGAAGGAGGACCTACATAATACTTTTAACAATAAAGATTTTTTTTAAAACTAAATTTCTCAGCTTCCCTTGCAGCTAGATCTGTCCATGTAATTAAGTCCTAGTCAATGAAATGTAAGCAAGAAGTGATATGTGCATTTTTAGGGAAGTCTTTTAAGGAAAGAGGGCATGACCTTCCCTCTTCCTCCTTCTCATTGACTGAAATTGGGATATAACAGCTGGAACTTGAGCAGCTATACCAAACTCTAACATAATTTTTGGAATGGAGAGTACACCCAGGAATACATGACACTTCTGAGTGCCATCTTAGCCTGAAATTTCCTACTTACAGACACATTGTATCTTTACTAACATGTAACCTTACCAACTTGTTTAAAATATTCAGAACACAAACAAGAGTCATTTAATTGAGGATTTCTTAGAGTATTAAAAGTCCACAATAGTAGCACTTGTCCATGGTCTTGCTAAGGTTTTACTCTATGCTCATTTATAATCTACAATACAAAAAGTCATTGAGAAAAATTAGTGAGTACAGTTTTACAAAACTAAATAACAAGCAATTCGTAAAAGAAAGTAGAACAGTGTTTGTCCTGGGTGTTCAGGGGAGTCTTCTGGAGGTAAGATACGGTATGCACGACCAGGGCTCACTTATGCAAAGTAAATAAGTTAATGAACAATTAAAAAGTAGATGTATAGATGTGCCCAAGGTTTTAAGTTTCTAAAGGGTTTTAAGTTTAAAGGAGTTTATTTATGTGCATTCATAAACAAAGACAGAGACCTTAAACATAAAGGTTAAATGCTTCACAAATAATATTCAGAGGAATTGTGGTTGAGTTCTACACTAGAATCTACAGGATGAGTTGGCAGCACTTGAGAAAGAGTTGGAAAGCAGAAAGGAAGGGTGCAGTGTTACAGTTCTCAGAGGGCAAGATTAGACATAGAACTAGTGAACCAGTTTGGAGATTTAAAAATGTCAGCCAGCCTGGCTGGTATGGCTCAACAGTTGAGCACTGACCTATAAACCAGGATGTCACTGTTTGATTCCTGGTCAGGGCATATGCTCAGGTTGCAGCTTGATCCCCAATAGGAGACAGTTGATCAATGTTCCATCATTGATGTTTCTATCTCACCCCCTCCCTTCCTCTCTGAAATATATGTCAAAACTAAAAGTGAAACATGCATTTTGGAACAGTTTTTTTCATTTTTAGGATCAAGAGAGAGAAATCCTGATAAGTTTACCATGGCTGATGTTTTAGAAAGCACAAATTAGAAAAGTATTAAGTCTCCAAAAGTAATAAGATCTATTTTATAAAATTTAAACTTAATTCACAGCCCTTTGAATATATTTTATTTTAACTCTGAATTCAATTGCACTGTTGACTGGCCTTTGAGAATGAGTATTAGAGTATAAAGAGCATGGACTGCTGAACCAGACTAACATAAATAGGAAACCCTGTCATGCTACTTGTCAGTTATGGGATGTATTCCAATTCACTGAATCTCCTTGGGTCAGTTTTCTTATACATAAAATGGGAAAAGTTGCTTCTAGCACATGGTTATTGTAAACGTAAATGAAATAAATATCTAATGTGCCTAATATTGCCAGACCCTGGGTAAATTTGTGCCTATTGAGTTAATATTAAATAAGTTAGTGATATTTAACATTAAATGAATCTTTGGAATCCAGAGAAATCTTTTCCTAGTTTTGTTTTGACGAGTAAATTTATTTTTATTTAAATTCTTGAAGAGTTCCAAAACCTAGGAATACGTTTTTAAAGAGATCCAATTAAAGATCATCAGAAAAATATAGTTAATGCTCTTTTTTTGGGGGGGGGGAGGGAGAAAGAAGTGCTTAGACAACTAAAATTTCTTCCAGTTCTGGAGGCTAGAGCAGGTTTTGGCCTCTTGAGACCTCTCTCCTTGGCCAGTAGATGGCGGTCTTACGCCCGTGTCCCAATGTCTTCTTAAAAGGCTAACCGTCAGACTGGATTAACGCCCATTCCAAGGACCTCATTGTAACTTAGGTACTAATTAAAAAACCCTGTCTCCAAATACTGTCCTATTGTGAGGGACAGAGGCATCGATTTCAACACATGAATTCTGGAGGGATGAATTAAGCCTTTAAACACCCCGCTACCCTGACACCTGTTGCAGCAGTGGCC